TAGCACATTCTTTTTCCATGTTTTTTGCTCTTAGTTGTGTTGGCCTTACTTGAAATGTGATTCTTTTGTTGGGTTTTGGAGAAAGCAAGGTTTGAACCCTTCTCAAGCTTCTTCACCATGTTATCATGGTTATCTTGAGAAGGTTGTGCTTTCTCCTTACCCTTCAACCGAATCACATCTTTTTTTAATCTTTTCACCTCTTCTTTGAGCTCTATGTTTTCTATGAAATTTAGCTCAATCGAAGATTGGCTTGCTTGAGGAGCACACTCATTAGTACAAGAAACATTTAATTGAGATGGTGTACTAGTGAGTGAATGTGTGAGAGGTTGAAAGGATTTTACCGATGTGATCACAACCTCATGAGCCACCTCAAGCATGATGCTTGATTCTACTACTTCATCATGAGAGCACTTTAGATGAACATAGTTTGCTTGTAGCACATTGTACTTGCTTGATAGTTCATCGAGCCTTGCCTTGAGCTCTAAGTTTTCCTTCTCTAGTTGGGAAACACTAGAAGAGGAGTTAGTAACTAAAGCATGCTCAATTAACAATTTTTCATACCTTTCACTTAGAGCCTTTAGTTCTTTCATCTTAGAGATGAGAAACAATTCTTGCTTTTGAAGTGATTGCTCTTGCTTCTCAATCTCTTTTTCAAGCTCATCATTCTTTTCAACTATCTTTATGATGATGAACTTGTCTTTGTGGTTGAGATGATCAAGGTTGTAGTTGTCTTCAACATCAATCTCCACTTGATCATCTACCCGTGCTATCTCCTTGGCTTGATCTTTCTTGCTAGCCTTCTTCTTGCTTTTCTTGGCCATGAGACACAAGTGATGAGTATCATGAGATACTGAGGTTGACTCATCACTTGGTCGCCACCGGGCTTGAGCATCGTTGTAAACAGCTGCTTGCTGCTCTGCTGCCTCGGCCATACTGTGCAGGCAGACAGCAAGTCATATGCTGCTTGCACTTCTTGCTCCGGCTCGGCGCTCTTGAGGTCTTGTGAGGCTTCTTTGCTGCATGAAGACACAATGGACATACTTTCCATTGACTCGACCTCAAGTGCATCATCGCATTTGGATTCTCCATATAACTCAACGAGTTTGGTCCAAATGAGATGAGCACTCTCCGGAGGTGGTTGTCCATTGAATATTGCCTCATCTTGAACCTCTGCACTCAATGTACTCAAAATGATATTAATAAATTGAGCATTGAGTTGCACGCATATCTCTTCCTCTTTTGATAAATTCTTATAGTTGCTCCAATAAACTATAGGAAGAGGTATGCTTACAAACACAATATGCTCAACAATAGGACTAATATGTCTAAAAGCATTGAGTACATGAATTGACCAAGGTAGAAAGTTTGAACCATCATTTTGGAGAAGCACCGGCTCCAACTCGATAGGCGTCGACATCCTTTTCTCACGGCGGTGAAGCTTTAGATGAGAACCTCTCTCTGATAACAATTGAAAGGACCTAGGATGCCGTCTAGAGGGGGGGTGAATAGGCGTTTCTGAAAATTAACACCTTTAAATGCGGAAACAATTAGAAAGGAGAGTTTCCAAAATGGAAACTCTAAATTAAGAGTACTACCACCCCTCACAAGTTAGCCATAGAGTAAACAAGGTATAAAGAATATATCTAGAAGCTACAACCCTGCAACACCAAGTTAGAACAGAGAATAAATATTTTCAGTGCAGGTTGGAAATACCGGACGTGTCCGGTATACACGATTTCTGCAGATCGGCCCTGAACTTGCTCCTTTTGATTTCTATCTTCAAAACAAATTGCAGTCACCTAATGGAGATGACAATATACACAGAGAACCTACAGAATAGCTAGAGCAACACAAATATCAAATGAAATGTGAATTGAGACACGATATTTGTTTTACCGAAGTTCGGACTCGTTCGAGTCCTACTCTCTGTTGAGGGGGCTGCGGGCGACCCAGCGAAGGTCAGCCCTAGAGGGTACCACGAAGGTCACTCTAGCCAGAGTCTTTTTCAACTCCTTTTCCTCCTTCCACTAATTTGATTCCGAGGCGACGGAATCGACCGTTACAAACTTTCTGAGGCACACCATAATCTCTCGGGTGCTCTCTGGCGATGCCTAGCCGTGTAGGACCGAAGAGTCCAAGAGTAACAAATACGAATCACGAGATTGACAATATACACAAGTGCTCAAGTGGTGGCTTGCTCTCTTTTTCAAATTCTCTCTTAACCCACAAATTAATTTTGCAATTTGGATCACACACTCAATAAGAGAGGGTTTAGGAGAGTTGGCAAGGGTCAAAAACATGTGTCTATCTCAGCAGAATCAGCAGCCTCCAAAGGTGGAGGCTTGGGGGTATTTATAGCCCCCTTGAAAAACTAGCCGTTTTATAGCCGTTGCAATACCGAACACGTCCGGTATGACTTACACTGCCCCAACGGTAACTAAGTTACAGTCAATTTGTGAGGCATCGGAACTCCTGATGAATGTCAGAACTTCCGACCGTCGGAACTCCCGACCCTCAGCATATTTGAAAACCATGTAACTGAGTTAAAGAAAATGAGGTGTCGGAACTCCCGACACATGCCGGAACTTCCGACCGTCGGAACTCCCGACTCACGTCGGAACTCCCGACCCTCAAGGCTTTGGGAAACTAGCCGTTGGCCTCTAGTCATGCATACCGGACACGTCCGGTATGAATACCGGACATGTCCGGTATGACCAGGACAGTGAACCCTCCAAGTCAGTTAAAGTGCGAGACATCGGAACTCCCGACCGTCGGAACTCCCGACGAACCAACCCGAGAACAACAATTTTACAACTGCTGGGTAAATACCAGACACGTTCGGTATGAATACCGGACACGTCCGGTATTGCCAGAACAGCAAAAATAAAGTTAGCTCTTTTGTCGCTCAAATACTCAAAACTCACTTGGGTTGGCTTGAGCACTTATGAAACATTATTTATCAATATGACGCATCCCTCTTAATAGTACGGCATTCCTATTTACTCAAATTTAAAAGTATAACTAATTTAAACCTTTTGAGTTGCTCTTTTCAAACCGAAGCCGTGTATTCCAATCTTCATCAAGTGAGGACGCCAACATGTTGATATTGATCTTTTTCACTAGAGCATAGTCATCTTGAGCACGTGACTTGATTCCATTCATCAAATTTGAATAATCCCAAATGTATCAAGTCACTTCTATCAAACACTCCAATAGTGATTTGATCCTTCATATCAATATGACCATCGTAGCTTGATTAGTACCTCAACTAAATGCAAGTACTTTCTTCTTCACTTTAGCTAGGTTCTTCGGCCGCCAAGCCGTCGCTTGCCCTTCACCCTTACTTAGTACCTCGAAGCCTTTCCTTGCTATCTTCACCATCTTAAGCCATCAAGTCACTTCTTGTGTTGAATCATCCATTCATTTGTATTGTTATCTTTTTCATTTCAATTTAGCAAGCTTCAAGTATGAGACCATTCCATATACAATTTCTCATGTCTCATTAATTAATTCTCATAAGCTTGCTTTCACATAGCAAATGGAAATCCCACAATAAATGAGCCTTTGCATGAATAACATTTGTATTGTTGTCTTGTGCTTGAACTAGATTGTTTATACAACAACATATTATTTTGGCTTTCATTAAGTACCTGTGAGATAACCTATAACCTGCCCACACTTAGCAAATGAGTTAGACCTTTAATCACGTTGTCATTCAATCATCCAAAACCCACTAAAGAGTTAGATGCACTTTTAATACGTATTCAGATCAAACAGATAACTGAACATGTTTTACAGATAACTGAACATCTATTGTCTACGATTAGCCGAGTATGACAAGAAAGTATGGGATCATGTCTCTCGCTCGGTTCCCCCAAAAGCCAACAGCTTTTCATGCCTCAGTCTACGGGTGTACACGTGCTGGACCACTCTCTAATGATCAGATTTGCAAGGCTATGCTATGTGGAAGCTTTCAAGAGGCCTTCTCTTAAATATTTTGCCGAGTGCATGTTCAGTTTCACCCTAAATTTTCAAAAAGTGCTACAGTACTTATCACATTGAATGTTTGTGGTTCATACATAGAGCATTAAATGTAGACGAAAAAAAACTAATTGCACAGTTTGGTGGAAAATTACGAGACGAACGTTTTGAGCCTAATTAGTCCATGATTGAACACTAATTACCAAATAAAAACGAAAGTGCTACAGTAGCCCCAAATTCCAACTTCCTGGAACTAAGCCCTTATTTAGTTCCACCCCAATTTCCAAAAAGTTGCTACAGTACCTGTCACATCGAATGCTTACGGCTCGTGCATGGAGCATTAAATGTAGACGAAAAGAAAAACTAATTGCACAGTTTGGTGGGAAATTACGAGACGAACGTTTTGAGCCTAATTAATCCATGTTTGAACACTATTTGTCAAATAAAAACAAAGGTGCTACAGTAGCCTCAAAATACAAATTTCGCGAACTAAAAAAGGGCTAAACACGCTCCGAGTATGACAAGAAGGAATATTTTGTATACTCCACCATGTAAACTCACCACATTCGGGTTTTAATGACTCCTTTAAGCATGCCTTTCTCGTGCTTCATCAGTACAGGAAAAAATTCAAAAACTACTGCTCCCCACATAAAATTTACACAGAATTACCGCAAAGGTTAAATGCTCTGTCTAAGGTTATTGATGTTGGTCTAGAAGTTGCAGGCGTGACATCAGAATACCCACAGAACTCACATAACCAAAGCGAACAGGGAAAAAAAAATCAACCTTGACACGTCTCAACTATGGATCACCATTCAGCCGGCGCCACATAAACTATTGCGAACAGGGTGCTGGTTATATGACCTTTAAAGTTCCAAACTCCTCGGCACATTTCCCTCTCCATTCTCAGATCTCACCCATCTGAAACAGTCAAATACCCTCTACAAAACAAAAACATCTGCAACCCACCCAGTTACGGTACGTTCTTCGCCTGAACAGGTGAACATCCAGCACCAGCGCTAGTAATAGTTGAGGAGGTTGCCGCTGATGACGTTGTTAATGTTGTTGCTGCAGGGGAAGCAGGCGCAGGAGGGCGCGTCGCTCCCCGGCAGGTGGCGGTGGTGGCTCGTGGCCCTGAGCCGGCGGGTGTTGTCGGCGGCCGCGCGCCGCAGCTGCTGGAGGTGCTGCGCCTGCGCCGTCGCGCGCCACTCCTCGGCGCGCCGGTGCACCGTCGTCATCCGCCGCATCAGCTTCTCCTCCAGGTTCGACCGCATCTTCTGAATCTTCACCTGACGAGCAGAGCAGGCAGGCACATTGCAAAAATGTCAGCGTCTGATGCAAACCTGATCAACCATTTGGACTTGCAGTATGTCATGCATTGCAGTGTTGCCTTGAACAGTGCAGCAAGGAGGGAAAATTTTCAAAATTTGAACTCCCTGTCTGTACTAATGTAATACATTGCATACGCATGGGTAATTAGTATATTAGTACCGCAGATCATCATCACATTATAACCCCAAGCACATGCCTCCATCTTAAACTACGGTTAAACGGGGCACGATATCGCTCCGCGCTCTCGGATCGAAGCTCTTCACATGGCTCTGACAATGGTTAGTCCAAGTTCAGAACAAAACCAGCTAAACAACTCTGATGAGTTCCGATGAACCGCGTGGGTAAAAGGTGAGTGGGGTTGCATTGCATAGAAAGCAATGAACAATCATGCCTCACACTGTTCTAAGCAACTCGGATTAGCAAGGCGACAAGGAGGTGGCGGACAAGAATTCGCCGTGGATTTAGCTCTGTTGGAGGCTGTGGAGGTGCAGGAGCAGGAAGAAGGAAATGGCAGAGCTGTGGTCTAATCCCAACCTTCTTCTGTGATTTTTAATTCTGGAATTTCTTGATGCTTGGAAATTACCGAGCTTAAACACATGGTTTCTGAACACTGGCTTCTGTTTCTACTGACACGCTGGGCATTATGGATTCAATATTGGATTCAGAGTGCAATGTGTGAAGTCTGAACATGATATATAATATCAATAGATTCAAATAGACATCGAGCTGCAAGATTTCAAAAACTCTGCCCAAGTTGCAGTTCAGCTGGTTCCACACGCAGTATGTCATCATAGTCAGGGTCAGATTGGGTTGGGACAAGCTATTCCCACTTTCCCTATATATATATATAGCTCTACAAAATGGACCTAAATCTTTCCTTTCTAAAACTGAACCTTACAGTTCAAAATACTACTCCTAGTACTAGTAAGGCAACCTATATCATTGCACCTACAGCCTCCTAAATGTGTAATCTGAAGTTCTGAACTTGAACAATAATGCAGACTAGGATGCCGTAATATAAAAAATTTATGACATGAATTACGGGAAAATAATATTTGCCAATGAATTTTTTAATTAGCAAAATTAAATTTTGCATACAGATGGTACTGAATTTTGTTGTACCTCCAGCTTTCTTGATTGTGCTTCAGCCTTGGCGCTCTCCAGGTTAATCCAAGCCTGGATCTTTGCCTCTTCCCTCTGATACCTAATCGATTGGAGCACAAAAAACAGATTAAAATTATGTCAGAATCGCTCAATCTCTGATCAAAATTCAGAATCTCATGTCTAATCTTCCATCACTAATTCACTATGCAATGTGCCGTGCTGTGTGTTGCACACACCTGATGCAGCTCTTGGCCCTGTCATCGTCATCCCAACGGCAGTCGCCGCCGCCGCGTTTATCGCAAGGTGGCCCGCCGCCGGCTCCGGCGCCGACGGTGGCCTCGAAGTGCCTGAGGCTCTTGGACACCTCCTCTTCCTCCTCCTCCTTGGAGCTCCAGTTCACCAGCATGGCGTCGAACCGCGCGCCCAGGTCCAGCTTGGCGAGGTGGCAGTCCGCCAGCTCCGAGATGTCCATCCCGCCGCCGCCGCCGCCGCCGGTGTACGGCACCAGCGGGCCCGACCGGCTCGCCGGCGTGTTGTGCCGCACCGGGGACGTGCTCTTGAGCGGCGTGTGGCACGAGCTGCCCAGCGGCGTCATCTCCGTGCCGACGTCCCTCCGCTGGTGGTCATGGTCGTCGGCGCCCACTACCGCCGAGCCCTTCGCCGGCACCGGCTCGCAGTACGAGCTCCGGAACACGAAGCTCTCCTTGGACGGCTCCTCGTTGTCGGTGAACTTGTCTGCAACATGCAGAAATCAGCATCTTGCAAGCTCAGCGTTGAATTGAAATACCAAACTTTCTTGTAAAATTCAGAGAAACAAATTCTGCTAGAAATAGAAATGACACCTTTGAGGAGCACTTCTGCCGGCGGCGTATACAGCGCGAGCGAGTGGGCGTCCCGGAGCGCATCCACGGACCTCCTCACCGTCATGGCCGCCCTCTTCTCGTCCTCGCCTCCGGCGCCACCTCGGTGTCCGAGCCCGCTGCTCCACTGCCTGGAGAAGGCGGCCTTGCCATTACCGTTGCCGTGGTCAGAATCCGAGGACTGCCGCAGCCACTTCTCCGCGTCCTCCCACTTGAGGGCACCGACCTCCTCGGGGCGACGAGCTGGTGGTGGTGGTGGTGCGCGGGGCTCGTGAAGAACTGCAGCGGCCGCCCCGGTGTCGCCGGGACGGCCACGGCCTGCTGCTGCTGCGACTCGCCTCTCCGCTTCTGAGCTGAGGTCGCCGAGGAAGAGGAGGTGGAGGAGGTGGTGGAGGCCTCGTGGTGGCGCCCGTGGCCGTTGCTGCTGCTGCTGCTGCTCCTGGCAAGGGTGGCCATGGGGAAGGAGGACCTGACGAACTCGGTGGTCTCCTTCTTGTTCAGGCAGCAGGGCGGGTCACTGAACGTGGGCTCAAACACGCTGCTTCCACCTCCTCGCCTTCCTCCTCCTCCGGTTGCTGCTGCTGCAGCTCCTACTCCATGGAATGAGTTCTGCAATGAATCAGTGGAGCATGACTCTGTTCCTGAGGTGAGGATGAGGATAGTTGCTGCAAGAAACAGCTTCGTGCTTGCTCTGTTGTGCTGATCTTCTTGGGTGAAGAAAGCAGAGGCAAGTGGTGAAAGGAAGTGTTTGCTGCTTGCTTACTCTTCTTGTTGAGGCCGAGGACTTGAGCTCCATGGGAGTGTGTTCTTGGTTATGTGAGCTCCACCCTGACGGAGCTTTACTTGCTTCAGCTGTTAAGTGCAATAGTGATGTGTGTGTACGAAGCAAACAGGGCAAGCTTATGTGGGCTTATATATGGCCTATGATCAGGAGGTCCCTGCTCTAACCTTGCTACATAACACTAGTTAATTAGGAGTAGTCACCATTAACAGTACCTTGTCAGACACTCACACTAGTACCTGGAATCCTGCACACGCCAGCTATGAAAATATATACTGCCAACTGTACTCCATGCAAGAGGTCCCTGATCTGAATATCTTTTTTTTAAGAAAAATTAAACATCATCCTATAATCAGGAGGCTGTACTTTCAGTATTTTAAAATGTCATCTACGCACAATATAAAAATGTCCGAAATGTCCAATACGACCAAGCTGTCAGTCTGGATGTCCAGTACTAGTACAGTACGTGTATTTATTTCATTGACCATTCTGAATGCTCGCCGTCGTCAGCCGGTTACAGCGAGCAGTTTTTGCTTTGACGGTCACTCGGCCCTGCAGCCCTGTAGTCTGGCAGGTTGCTAGCATCATTGAATTAAAACTTTTAACCCGTGCTCACCTCACCTGTTTTACCGCTGCCTGTGATTTCGGTATATGGTGCTCCTAGTAGCTGGGTAGGTCAGGACCTTTGCAACCTCATGAATTCACTGTGTCAGTCTGTGAGTCTGGGCGCTATAGTTATGTACTGTACTTACCATCTTTTTTTATCTTCTTGGCAAGGTCGCCATCTTTGCCGAACCACTTGTTGCAAAAGGTGACGAGAAGCTTCTCTTTCCTCATTTCCATTTATTAGTTTGAGGTTTACAGCTGCATTACTCTGTGATCTAGCCCTTGTTTAGTTCCAGAAATTTAGAATTTGGAGCTACTGTAGCACCTTCGTTTTTATTTAGCAATTAGTGTCCAAACATGAACTAATTAGGCTCAAAACGTTCGTCTCGTAATTTCCCACCAAACTGTGCAATTAGTTTTTTTTCCGTCTACATTTAATACTCCATGTATGGGCCGCAAACATTCGATGTGACAGATACTGTATCACTTTTTTAGATTTTGGACTTCAACTAAACACGCGCCTAGAGGCAATGAGGGTCACAATTAGTGGCTTCAAATATGATTCATCGGCGCCATTCGTTTCGCTGAAAAAACGAGCCAAGCACCATTGTTCTGACTGATTTACTGTGGGAGAAAAATACTGTTCTAGCTGAAAAAACAAGCTGAAAAAGATGGATTATAAGAGAAGCAAACTGGGTCATCAGCAGCAGCTTCTGTGATATGCTGCCCCCACACATTTGTGCGTCTCGTTTTTTCGTTTCTACGCTTTCTGAATCATATTCGTCGAGTACATACATACTGGTGATGTGGTTGCTCCTTTGCAGGCTGCCCTGCATTGCCACCACACACGCTGCCACTGTTTACTGGCGGATTGTCAGGGATTAGGGCGTCCATTATGGCCCGTTCAGATGGTATGGTTTTGCTAGAATTTAAATGGTTCAGAGAAATTCTAAAGAAATTTGTGGGAGAAAAATACTGTTTCGTATTAAAATAATGCTTGTTCTTAGCGGCATTATTTTCAGTCATAGACATTGAATTGCTCGTCTGCAATGCAAACATGCGATGGGATTCCTTGTTTCCAGGATTGGGTATGGCTCCGGATCACATGGGAACTGTACGCTGACATCTTTCTCACAACAGCAAAAGGAAGGGGGGGCGTTTGCTGGGCTACCACCGTGCCATGCATAGTACTGCAGCAGCATGGAGAACAGCAAACGTCCCTGTGCGCCGCACAGCGTTTGCCGTCGGCTACAGCGCCGGCAGCGGCAGGCACGGCACGCCATGCAGCTTTCTCGATCGTTTCGTAGCTCCGCCTGCACCTCCGGCCCCGACGACCACGCCGCAGTCGGAGCCTCGGAGGCGGGCGCCGCATGGCCGGCCGGCCCGCCACCAGGTGAGAAGAGGACAAAAAAAGCACGAGATGGACCGTGAGCTCGTGAAAGTATCAGGGTTGGTTATCTACCCTGTTGCTGGACCTGAAGCAGAAACATTAGCCGGCGAGCATGCAGACATTCAGTCGTCAGTGCAGGCCGCCGCAACTTTTGCTTGCTTGCTCGTGGATTGTGAATGAAAGAACCAAAAATCCCCAGACGAGTTTACTCAAATTGGATCGGGCTTTTGAGTGCTCTCCTCGTTCAGCAGCCCGTCAGGCCACGTAAAAGAGGCCGCCGCGAAATCTCCCGTGGGCCGAAAATCTACTAGGGTCCAGTCCACCATGGCCTTGGCCACTGTTAACATGCAGGCAGATCCAGTGTAGCCCATCTACCCTCTGCCTGCCAATTGCTAAGGAACTGCGAACGTTACAGAACCGTCAGTTTCATCAGTTCAGCCCATCTACCCTTTGCCTGCAGGGTGATCCGTGGGTTCGCTAAATCCACCGAACTTTTTTTTTTCTTCTAAAATACAGTTCCACTCGACCTGTATTTTCTCATCGGTGTAATCCTTATCCACCAACTTACACACAACCTAAGGGTCTGTTTAGAATATGCTGGACAAAATACTTGCGGTCATGGCTCACCAACTCGCTCGACTTGGCTCAACTTATTTTAATTTTTTCATGAACTGAGCTGGAAGTCCAGCTCGCTGTTTTAACGACTCTCAAGCTGCTTCCAAGCTGAAACGAGCTTGGGCTAAGAGCCCATCTACGAAGCTGAAACAAGCTGTCTAGGATCCAAGAGGGATGGGAGGCCCAGCAAGCCCACCCTCCGTCCTTCCCCTTCGTCTTTCCACTTTCCACCAAAGTTTTAAATCTCCGGCTATAGCTGCCGCTATAGCCGAACCAAGAGGGATGGGAGGCCCAGCAAGCCCACCCTCCGTCCTTCCCCCTTCATCTTTCCACTTTCCACCAAAGTTTTAAATCTCCGGCTAGCCGAAGATAGCTGCTAGAGATGGAAGAAGCTAAGAGATGCAGTTTTTAGCGCTAAGAAAAGCTGGGTGCTAATAGCGCCATTTAGCCGGCAATAGCCGCTAAACTGGCCTTCAGTGCAGCCGCTAAAGTGCAAATCCTGGACCAAGAAGCAAGCTAGCCCAACTGGACCAGAGACGAGGACCAATACGTAACCCTAGCTAGTCAGTAGTCACCCATCTCTCTCCAGTCTATCCAGTATCAAGCGCTCGCTCTCCGGTTCCACAGAAAAGTGGAGCGGCGGCACACGGCGGCTGTGCTCTTCGGCGGCGGCGTCGCGGAGGCGACTGGCGGTGGTGGCGGGGGTCGAGAGGAGAGACCGGCGGCGGCAGCGACGGCGTGGAGGCGACCGGCGACGGCGGCGGCTGCTTCGAGCGGAGAAACCGAACGGCGGCGGTGACAGCTTTGGAGGCAGCTGAGCGTGGAAGCACTGCAGTAGCATCACTACAAAAATTTGGGCTTTGTATGACAAAGGCAAATTGTCACGGTAAGTACATAATTTGTCATAAAAAGCATCTTATGACGAAAAGGCAGCGTCACGCCGATCGTCATATAACGACCGTCACATAATGTACCTCATGACGATACCATGGAGAACCGTCACAAAATGTGGTTACCTTTTATGACGGTGTGTTTCCAGCGTCACATATTAGTTATCTTTTATGACGGCTGTGCTCGTCACATATTGGATAGTCAACGCGTCACTTTATGTACGCGCCGTCACAAATGATTCGGTGGAAGACATGTTTGGATGGGTTTTTGCGACGCCACAATAGCGTCATATATACAATTTTATATTTTGTGACAACTATATTTCGTCTTGTTTTGGATGGTAGTTTGATGCATTTTGAGACGACTGTATGGTGTCACAAGTTGTCTTCATTCATGACGAGCGTGGCATGCATATTCAGTGACGACACAGATCTTTCATCACATCTCACAGAAGCATAATACACATATATAATCCAATCCATCATCCACAGAATGCACTGAAGCCATCATCCACATGATTGACATCACAGGTCATAAATCATACACACTTGTTCCAGCCACACATTGTTATCATCCACAAACATGCATACATATAAGTTTCTGGTTGCAGGTTACCACACATTGTTCCAGCACACTTGTTCCACCACATAGTTTCAGGTCACCAACATAACAGATAAATAGATAGCACATTGGACTGACAAAGTTCCAACCACACAGAGTAAGTTCTAGCTAGGTAGCAATAACATAGGCAAAAGCCTCATCCTGCGAAACTACATTCATACCTACCTCAATCTTTCTGAAGTTTGAGGACATATCGCAGCAGTGCATTAGTCTCTTCAAACTTAGTATTCATCCCCTTCACTTCCTCTTGAGTCTGGCGCAGCAAACTTTGGTTTTCTTGGAGTGCGGCCTGCTGAGCTTGAAGCTGTGCTTGCAATTCTTCCTGCTTCCTAGCAGCTTCATCTCTTTCAGCTTGAAGCCTTGCCTCAAACTCAGCTTGAAGGCGTGCTTGTGCTGCTGTCGATGAGGCTTGGCCAGTCTTCGACAGTCTAGGGACACCAATGTTCGGAAGAAAGGTGGATGAATGGCTGATGTGGCTGAGACTTTCAGCAACAATAGTGGAGGGAGACTTTTGTGCTTCTCCTTCTTCTGGCTCTCTTTCCTTCTCTGCCACCATTTGTTCCTACATAAAATGAATGTAGTTAATAACAAGGCCATAGAACAGTACAGAAGCAGGCATTTACTTGAGTACAGTAGATGTATCCAATCATTTAGGAACTTACATATATTTCATCTGCAAGAGGAGTACGACCACTTTGGCGACTAGTCATGCACTCCCCAAAGAAATCAACAGCATCTGGTTCCATGTTGTTGTACTTAGGCCTCTGCAGCATGTTAAAAGCAGAAGATATAAGAGTAGCCATGAATTATATGTACATGCCAAACACCAAGATGCCAAAATATGTATGCACTAGACATCATACTAGTTTTTGCCTAAGTATTTGCCTCTAGATTTTTTGTGCCAACAACAAATACAATCACTAACAGTCAACTAATTTCTGACAGTTGGAGAAAAACAACTCAGGATTATGCATCAATCCAACCTGGACAGATCAAGAAGAATAAGTTGGCCTAATCAACACCTACTACTACTGTTGATGAGCATCTCTGATGACATAACAATTTGTATTGCAGATTTCAGTTTGAAATGGTCAACTTAAGAGATTAGGAGCATAAACACCTACTGATTATAGCTCACTCAGCACATCGCAAATATTATGAACATGGGAGCTCATCTCAGAAATCATAGGGCCAAAGCCACAATCAACTACAAAATCAGAGCTCATCTCAGAAATCAAAGGGCCAAAGCCATAATCAAATACACAATTAGAGCTCATCTCAGAAATAAGTGGAGCAAGTGCTAACTTGATAGTCCACAAGCACATGGTAATTACTAAGCTACAAATGTCCCATCTTTCAAGCTAATTATACAAAAGACATAGTATATGTACCAGGCTGTATCGATGGGCAATATATGACCTAGCTCCAGTCTTTTGGTGCAGCTGCACTTGGCCTCGGTTAACTTTATTCTTAGCAGATTTTTCCTGCACCACAAATGCAATAAAGAGTTGTCATTCACATGCACAGGTTGCATTGCATAATAACAAAAGGAGATAATTCAGGCATGGACCTTATTCTTTGGGTCACACCAGTACTCTACCAGCTTTACCCACTCCTCTTTCTTCATCTTTGGTGGAGGCTGTTTGGCCAAGAGCTGTTCCATTGTGAGTGTAGGGTCGAAGTACTTCGTTTTCAGGTGATACCTCTGCTGCCTTACTCCCTTCTTGATGATATCAGTGCATGCAGCTTTGCTTGGTCCCTCGTTCTTAATATCCACATCCAACCTTGACTGCAGTCACACATATGAGATATTAGACACAATTTTTGACATGGTAGTGGAGTAATGAAAGGAAGTATTTGGAGTGAAATAGCTATCTTACCGCCACTTTCTCAAGCACTTTTGTTATTTGTGCCGGTCCCACATCTTTTTGATATAGCTTCCAAAATGTTAAGATAGACAGGTTGTCTCTCAGGGCAACACCAGTTTCTGATGCCAGTTTCGCTGCCTGAAGTGGTACATCAGGTCTTTTCTTCCCTTCAGCCACCTAGATAGCCAACTTCTTTCCTCTATTTATCATCTTCTCTAAGCCATGACCCATGGTTTTCTTACGGACATTCTTTTGGCGCGCTGCATTAGCAAATATTGATCAAAATGTGTTATTAAAGCAGTAACAATTGTAGATAATGATTGTAGAAACAAATGCTTGGCAGTATGTATTGTTTACCTGGAACTAAGTCATCACTTGGTTCTCCTTCACATGTATTACCCTCTGAATTAGCAGCATCAAATTGCTCAGCTGACTCATTGATGTCATTGCTTTGCCTAGAGCTCTGGCCACCTGGCGAGGTGTCTGTAGGGATTGGCTGGTTAATACTAGTTGCGGGAGTCATTTGCCTCGACTGAGACATGGTAATAGTGGGTCTAGGAGTATGCTTAGGGTTAGCACCAGGCGAAGACATGGCTGCACTTTGCCTGGTGAATCTAGGAGGACTAGGCATTGGCTTTGCAGCAGGCATAGACATGGTTGGACTGGTCCTAGTATGCTCAGGGTTAGCACCAGGCGAAGACATGGCTAGACTGGTGAATCTAAGAGGACTAGGCACTGTTTTTTGAAGTGGCGCAGACATGGCTGGACTGTTTGTGGTCTTAGTTGGATTACTAGGCACTGTGCTAGTAGTCTCTGTGGTGTTGCTGGTGTTTGGTGTGAGGTGGCCTTGCAGTTGGCTGGCACTAGAGATGGCAATAGGTTTAGGGTTGGCTTTGGAAGTGTTCTTAGGAGGCAAGGGATTTCTTATCCTAGGTGGTGGACGGCCTCCAGGCGAAGGCATGGCTGCACTTTGCCTAGTGAGTTTTATTGGCGTCCGCAGTTCTTGCTGGTTGGCAGCCGCCATTATTGCTGCCTTTTGCTTCTTCTGAGGGCGAGTTCCTGGAACCATCGCTCCTACCTGCCAAGAGAAACATGCATCTTAGTAATGAACAAAGAAGTGTCAAGTAGCATAATTAAGTACAATGAACTATATGTTTGAAATAGATATACCATAAACTTGTTAGTTGGCCTAGTAATGCATCTCACCTCGGTATTGACCTCATTATTGAGGTCATCGTCATAGTCATCATCAGTGTCAGATTGTTTATCAACATCAGAGGAGGGGTCATATTCAATGTCAGATTCTGAATTCCCCCTGCCCTTTTCCTTTTTTGATATAACTTCTCTAATAGACTGAGCTAAGATTGGAATACCGAAAGACTTAAAAACTTCCTGAACATGCTTTACATTCTCATCCCTCTTCTGCTCATAACTGGTTTTTGTCATTTCCTCTATTACTTAGTACGATGAAACGTAGAAAGAGCAGAAACTAGATTCAGTTTCTGTAAAAGGAGTTGAAGAAATAACTAACACATCAGTACTCTGTTAAATAGTAAAAAGAAGGCAAAGTATCAAGTAAATTCAACTAACATGGTTATGCAGGTAAATGTGACAAGAAACAACTAACAGATGACAACAATGTCTCAACAACTAACAGATGACAACAATGTCTCAACATGTATCCATCATTCATTTCATTCCAACTCATAATTTTTTGCAAAAATAGAACTACAGCGTGTGCATTCCAACTCAGTCAGTAGAAGACATATACATTGCAATGGTAGAACAAGATTAGAATTATGTACATTCATCTTTCTTGTGCATCTAACAGTTTTCAGTCATGCATGATTTATGTCCATCTTAGTATATTATGATAAACACTATAACTGGATTACTTCGCCCGTAGCCAATAAACAACAACCATCTACTAGACACCCAAGGTTGAATTTCACTAGTACTTATAGTAAATATAAAGCATATACTTCACTCAGTTACAGATGACTTGTCCAATCCAATTGAAATAACAGTTTCAAATCAGTTGTGAACTTAACCAATATCAGGATTGCCAAGATGTGAAAACAAGGATGCTACAAGTGGGCTCACCAAGTGTCAGCGGGTAGCCGGCGAGGCAGACGACGTGGCGCGGAGCCGCAGCGGTAAGCACACGCCCTGTGGTGGACGGGCGCCCTATGAGCCGTGGATGCCGTGAATGAAATGAGACATCCTGCTGATGGAGAAGCTTGGAAAGAATTTGATGATACTTTCAAGTCTTTTGCAGATGATCCTCGCAGTTTGAGGCTTGCCATTGCTACTGATGGATTTAACCCATTTGGTCAGATGACCAATTCATATAGCATCTGGCCAGTGATAGTGGTTCCATACAATTTTCCACCATGGATGTGTATGGACCAATCCAATTACATGCTTGCTTTACTAATTCCTGGCAAAAAATCACCGGGCAAAGATTTCCATGTGTTCATGCAGCCTTTGATAGTAGACATGCTAACTCTTTGGAATGGTGTCCCTACTTATGATGCATATGAAGGCAAAGACTTCAGTCTGCGTGCAGCGATTCTGTGGGGAATCCATGACTACCCTGCATTAGGTACCATGTCAGGCAGAAGCACTAAGGGTTACTTCGCATGTGTGCACTGTGATGAGAATCCATGCTCCGAATGTCTGACCAACAAAATTGGATTCATAGGCCATAGACGTTTCCTCCCAAACAACCATCCGTGGAGGAAAAATAGATCTTTCAATGGCCACCATGAAAATAGGGAGCAGCCAAGGAAATTTAGTGCAAATGAGGTTATGGCAAGGTTGGATGAAGTTTGCTATGTTCCTGGCAAGAATCCAGATAAGCCGAAATCAAGAAAACGACGCCGTGGTGGAGAACCAGTATGGCATCTGAAGGTTAGCTTGCATGATTTGCCATACTGGTCAAAATTGAAGCTACAGTACAACCTTGATGTTATGCACATAGAGAAAAACATATGTGAAAACATTTTGTCAACTCTACTTAATATTCCGAACAAGACAAAGGACACAATTGCTGCTAGAGTAGATTTGGAAGAAAGAGGTATAAGAAAAGAGCTTCATTTGTTAGATGACACTGGTGATGCATCCTCAAAGCCAAGAGCTTGTTACGTTCTAACACCAGAAGCAAAGAAGACGTTCTTGCAATTTGTGAGCAATGTTAAGTTTCCAGATGGCTATGCCTCCAATATATCAAGATGTGTCAATATGGAGGGAGGAGGATCAATGCATGGGCTGAAAACACATGGTATCATATACATCATGCAGCGTATTTTACCGGTGGCCTTCGTGGTTTGGTGAAAAAAAGGTATATGAAGTAATTCTTTGAGTTGGGTAGGTTTTTTAGACAACTTTGCTCAAAAACTCTAAAGGTTGATGCACTAAAACAAATGAAGGAAGATATTGTGCTTATTCTTTGCAAGCTAGAGAAAATTTATCCTCCTGCATTCTTCGATGTTATGGTTCACCTAGCAGTTCACTTACCTGATGAGGCACTCCTTAGGGGACCGGTGCAGTATGGATGGATGTACCCCATTGAGAGAAGATTGGGCACCTTTAAGCATTTCGTCCGTAATAAAGCAAGACCTGAAGGTTCTATTGCAGAGGCATACACTGCCTATGAGTGTATGACCCAGTGCTCAACATATTTCAGTGACATTATTAATAGGTTCACAAGGCCTGAAAGATACTTGGATGGAGAAAAGAACATCTCACCCAATGGTTACTCTATTTTTGGTCATGGTGTTAACCTGTTGGGTGCTTCAAAACTTCATTATGAAGACAGACTATGACTCCATGGTTTGGTTTGTTCTAAATAACTACGAAGAGGTTGATGAATACAAAGAGTGAGTAATTGTTGTAATTTCATTTGAGCCATATTTATTCAAAACAAGTGTCACAAAAAGACTAACTATCTTCTTCCTTTGCAGCATGTATAGGGCAGAATTAGAACAACAAGAGGTCAACGATGTTGAAAAAATGATGTCAACACAATTCGCTGCATGGTTTGAGAATCATGTGTGTGCAGCTTCTACAACATGACTTAATAATTTATGATACAATACACTCTGAAACTCAATAATTTTGTATGTTTACAACCTGCAGATTACGAAATTGAAATATGAAGGCACAACACATGTTGATGAAGACCTGTACTCACTAGCATGTCGGCCGGATCCGCGAGTGCGTTCATACATAGCCTGCATAATCAATGGGGTACGGTACCACACTATGGCTCGTGACGAACACAAGAAGACACAGAACTCCACCATGAAAACAGCAGGTACTCATGGTGGTGACACAATTGACTTCTATGGGACAATCACAGACATTATTGAGTTGAGTTACAGTAAGAACAACAAAGGGCATAGAACTGTTATCTTATTACGGTGCGAATGGTACAATCTAGAGGGAAAGACATACCAGCTGAAAGATGATGGTTACTTCAAGAGCATAAATAGCCAAGGCCGATGGTATAAGAATGATCCTTTCATTATAGCCACTGATGCTTCACAAGTATTTTTCTTGGAAGATACAAAGTTAGGTCCATGTTGGCGAGTGGTACAAGAATTTGGCCACCGACATATATTTGATGTTGAAGAGACCGACACAAACCAACCAATCCATGAACAAGTACAGATGAGATGTCAGGAGGCATACCAAGAGGAGCATACTTCATCAAGAGATGGTGCAGTGGGAGACATTCATCCTGATATGGATTTGTTTGCGCATGGATAATGAACCAGGCAGCCCTGTTAGTAGAGACCTCGTCGAGAGCACCGCCGACGAAAAAAACATACAACTCAAGGTGATGAAACATACGGCGATGATGAAGATGAAGATGAAGATGAAACCTACCTTGAGTACCATAGTCCTAAAGAAGGCAATACTTCAGGAGAAGACAGTGATGATGACTGACCTTTGCATTTCTGGAGATTTGTGAACCATGAACTTTTCTATTATTGATATTGTTGTATTTGAATTATGCTACTACATTTATATCTGAATTATGAAATTGTAAGACCTTATATGCAATGACTCTGTTTTCAGTGGATGGAAGTTACAGTGCCCAGATTTCATTCACATGATGCAAGTTATATATAGTGCCCAGACTTCATTCACATGATGCAAGTTATATATAGTGCCCAGATTGTTGTGTTTTCATGACACATGATAATGTCATGTAATGCCCAGAATCTATCATGGAATGTACAGAATCTGTCACAAAATGTATAGCCTAGAAGTTACAGACATGCTGCCAAAAAATCATTCCACACAAGTAAATCATCATAAGCAAAAGGGATCTTTATTTCCAACATACATCAGAAATGTACAGGTTACACAAGAGAAGTCCAAGAGCACGAAGGCACATATTTTCATACCAACTACAAATACATCCTGGACAGCAGGTTCACTACATGTCCTAGCTAGCCTACTTCATCATCATAGCCAAAAGCATATCAAATGTGGCAAACATATCCAACCCACTTCACAGCATGTCCTGCTACATCATCATTGCCTACTTCAACATTACAATTACAACCAAAAGAATGGCCAGCACCAGGAATGTTACATTCAGACAACCACAGACAAGACAAATGCAGCTTCCCATGCCTTCCCTGTTCTTGCCAACCATTTCCTTCACCTTGTTCAGACTCTGCTCTAAGCTATCAATTTTTCCAACAAGCTCAGGAACTTCAGTTGTCGAAGCTGGTGCAATGGTAGAAGCAGCTGATGGTAGATAACCATTATCAAGAAGGAACACCACATATTCTTCCTCAAACCAATACCTAGCACATGTCCCCTGCATCCAAATTTAAACAACAGGGAAATTAAAATCAATACACTACATCAACTGAATGCTAAAAACACTACCATTCTCAAGCATGCTCATTCAAACAAGATTGAAATGATTATAACACTGACATTTTGATAGTTCTTCCTAGGGCACTTGAAATATCTCTTTCCAAAGTTCAACCCAGACTGCGTGGTATTGGCAGCAAAGACCCTAACATCCTTGCAATCTGGGCACATAATCAACGGCAACCCGCTCACATCATCAATCAGCGTCTCTAGATCGACGACCGTGGGCAGAGGAGCTGCAGCAACAACAACAAGGGGTGTGGGTTGCAGGGCAACCCTAGCTGCGCTAGACCACCTAGTGCAAGTGGTAGATGATGATGCCTGAGACATGAGCCCTGATTGATACACAAGAAATTGATTAGGAATTGCACATTGGATTGACAGTAGAGCAATGAGCAGAAGAAAGAGGAACGGGGAGGGGGATGAGGGTGCCACAGCCGAGCAAATGGAGGCGAACGGGGAGGGGATTGATGGCGACACTGCCCACCATGCGCCACCACCTACCAACCTGAGGCAGTGGCGACGTTCACTGGTGATCTGCGCTCGCC